TAATCAATGCTGAAATGGTTAAGCATCTTACCTCTCATGACCTACTCTCTGACAAACAATATGGCTTCCATTTTGCCAGGTCTACCACTTATGTGCTAATGGCCATCACTGAATATGTATATCAAGCTCTTGATAATAATATCAAAGCTTGAGCTGTAGCTCTAGATATCTTGAAGATGTTTTGACAGGGTCATGCTGGTCTTCTACATAAACTCCAGGGCTATAGTATTACTGGATGATTGATTTAATCCAATCATTCCTATCAAATGAAGGTTTTTTTGAATGAGCTCACTTTCAGATCCTTTTACACAAACACGGGTATCTCCCAAAGCTCTATTCTGGGTCCAACAATGTTTCTGATCTTAATGATCTTCCTGCTGTCATCAGTTCCCAAGTAGGCATTTATACTGATGATACTACCATTTACTCCTGTCTCAATAACAAATCCATCAAAGCCAACAAAGTTAATATGGCCACTGCTCTTAAAAAGGACCTCCAATCTGTGGTTAACTGAGGCAGGAAATGGCTCATAAATTTTAATGCCTCCAAAACAAAACTACTCTCATCTAACCACCATAAAGAAACTTTCCTGCCTGCCTTCAGCATAACTGATGCTAGACTCATGGAGAGCAACACACTGCACCTTCTTGGCCTCATGTTTTCAACTGACTTGAAGTGGATCGACTATATTGGATCGATAGCTGCATCCACAGCAAAGAAATTTGGATCACTGTTGCACTAGAAGTTTTTTCTCGACAGAGCCCATCTTGCACATTTACAAATCTACCATTCATCCGTGCATTGAATACTGTTGCCATATCTGGTCAGGTACTCATCTCAAGGTTCTTGACAAAATCCAAAGAAGGATCTGTAATGTAATCAATCCTGACTTGGCATCTTGATTTCAGTCACTTTCTCACCAACATGATGTGGCTTCCCCGTCTTTTCTACAAATATTTTCATGGCTACTGTTCTGACAATTTTTTCCCCTGATGCCTGGACTACACAAGTTTAAGTGTGCTACTAGGCACTAGATTGGCATTTAGGTCCCATCCTTTTGAATTAGTTAAATGTAATTGCCACTTCTACTCCAAAAGTTTCTTTTTTCACAGTTCCTGCTTGTTTAAGCTCTTTTCCGTTTACTTGCTTCCCTGATAACTATGATCTTCAAAAATGCAACATCAATTGCCATATTCTTGAACCCCATTCAGCTTTTATCCTTTCTTCACTCCCTCCTATACCCAGTCTTTTCTCTCATCTTCACTTTCTGTAACCCCCTGCATACTAGTGGCATTCCCACTTTGCTTGGGATGAAATGATTTAAAAAAAAAAATAAAAACAAAACAAAAAAAAAACAAACAGCACATCAATAATGTTCTAGTCTAGAGCAAAAACACATTTGTGATGTGTTCTTTCACCACTGATCTTGCATAGTAATACATTTTTTACTAATCTAGATTACTTAAAAGAAATTATCTGTATTATATATAACATTACCTTATACTTCCCTGAAAAAAAAAAAAAATTTAATAGCTAATCAATCATTATTCTTATTGCACAAAATACATTGAGCTTCTTTTTTTTTTTTTTGCATTTTATTATATATTTGATAGTTTTGTTCTTTGATCTTTAAATTGCAGGAGTTTGGAACAAAGTAACTTAAAACTTGATCTAAGTACAAAAGATTGCTATATAATGTAGCAACATTATCATGTTAGTTATCAAAGATGATTTTATCTATATCACTGATCTTACTGCCACTATTGTCATTCTAACTTACTCCAACACTTTGTTGACTAATATTAGTTATTATACTGTTGGGTTTGGTGATTTTTTTATTCTAGATATTTCTTGGTATTTTGTTGTTTTTCATAATATTTTTAGTTGATATTCACTTTGGGCTTTAAATTAAACTGTGAAATCCTAAACAAGCAATTGTAAAACATTAATATCATTTGCAGGTCCAAACTCAAATTTTACTTGAAATTTTATAAATAAGGTATCAAAATTTTAAGCAAGCAATGTTGTTAAGTGATAAAATCTTCTCACATAAGTTATTTTTTGCATTTTTTTATAGAATGCCATTGCAGCACAAGATTGATTTTTATGCTTTTAACAGATCCAACTTAAAATTATCTTTGGCACAAAGCAACCGTTTAAAATGTGCTCTTCTATTTAATATTGTTCAAATACAATAAACTAACTTATATCTAAACCAAAACATATTTTGAATTCTTTTTGCCTAAAAAAAAAAAAAAAAAAAAAAACATCTTTAGTAAAAATATATGACTTGAGAAGTCAGCCTAGAGTTAATATTTCATGTGAAGTAAGCAACAATAAGAAAAGAGCTTTTAAGTAGCATATTCATCATAACAGTAAAATATACATACATACATAATGTATCTTAAGTAAAAAAAAAAACTTATTTAAACTTTTAGAATTGCTAGGCCACTTTGAATAAATATCATGACTAATACAGAAATATTTTTCACCAATTGATGCTAGCTTAGCAATAGGAAAACTGGTACAAAATCTTAAACTAACATTTCCAACACTTTAAATAAAAAAAATATCTTTGAGGAAGTATAATTGATTAAAATTCAGAATTGGAAAGGTAATTTTTGTAGTTTTCTTTTGTAAAAACTAAAGAGGTTTGAATCTGGTTTCATATGTGCTCAAATTCTGTTATGCAATTCTTATTTCACAAGAGGAGCTTTCAAATTCATACTTTTTTTTTTTTTTTTAATGTTAAGGTTTTAAGATGACAATGAATAAATCATATTTACAAGCTGGGTACAACATTTTATACATATTTGTAAAGTGTAAACAGTTTTTTTTCTTTCTTATCTCTTAACTACAAATGAATTCTTTAATATTATTGTTTTATCAATTCATATTTAAGACCACTAAGACATCTACAAAAAAAAGACTAGATTTGTACAGAATTTTAGTTTTTATATTAACAAAAACATGACACAAAGCAAATTAAGACCTTAAGTATTTCATGTCAGTATTTTCTATAATAAGAATTGCTATAGCAAATTTAATTAAATGTTCCAATCTCTCTATATTGAAAAAGAATTCAAAACTGGTGATAAAAAGCTAGTTAGTAACAGGATTAGAGTAAAATTTTTTATGCTTACTTACACTGAATCTATAATTTGGAAGAGCAAGTTTGTTAGATATACACAGCCAAAGTATTTCATGTAGAACCCTTATTCGTGGGGAAGGTTTTAACATTAGAGGAAAAAAAAAATTGTTGTTCCTCATGGAGAAAGGGGATCTCTCATGGAGAGGAAGTCTCTAACAATAAACAATAATCAGCAGGAAGCCATGTTGCTACAAGATGTAATTGATTTTACAGAATTTAAATTGCCAAACTTCAAAAGAAAAGAAAAATGTTTTACTAAAATAATTATTCATATTTAATTAAACATTACTAATTAGGTTTCCAGGTAGTTCTTCAAGCAGGAGATGTAAAATAATTACCATGCATTATTGCTTAGTTAGGACTAACAATCCATACAAAAGACAAAAATGCTTGGATCAATAAAACTCAATTGTTACTCAAAAACTATGAATTTTCTCATAAAACAAGAAACATATTTGGTAAATCCCTTTTGTTATGCAGACCTATCTTTTATAGTAACAATTACTATTTGTAACTGTTTAGTTATAGACTATAATTTCTTTTTATTATTAACTAGTGTACCCATGCTGTCAAAAATGATGGCAATTGTTAGAAAGTATTATAGTGAGATGCAATGAAACAAAAGTCTTGAAACAATGTATTGAGATTCAAGTTGAGATGAAGAATTCACAACTAAAATAGGGGCCAATGTACCTGGCCAATTAATCTGTTCCCTTTATATTTCAGATGTTTAATGGTATCTCTGAGTTACTGATTACTCCTGGTATTTAAAAAAAAAAAAAAAATAAAAAATAAATCGCTTTTTGCTCAATATCTTTTCATGTTAAAAATTTTATGTGTTTAATGTAATAGTGAAATGGAAAAGTATCTTGTACAAAAAAGGTTAGCAACAAAGCCTACTGAAAAAAGCCGATCATTTAATAGAGAAAAGTATCTCTCATGAAAGATTGCAGTCTTATTTGTTCAAGCCTAAGAAATGTAGGTGTAAAGGAACTGATTAATTAAACAGTTCATTTTTCTCAGGAACTAATTTAGTCTAAATACAGATAAATATTTTATTTGTATAGATTATTAAAACAACTAAGGAAGTAATCACTCATAAATTTACTAACTTAAGTTGATTTACCACCCTTTTCCACAACAGATACGACAGAAAATATATAAATGAATACACATTGATAATTATTATATGGTTTGAGTGATACCCAAATGAAAAAAAAATATGCTTTAAACAGAAAAAAATTTCTCAGAACAATTTTTATGCTGAAAATTTTTTACTGTAGTGTTCTTATACAATATCTTGAACTTGAACATAGCTGGAAAAATTATCCAAAATAAATTACCTGAAGATGACATCAGGGTGTTTTCCAATCAGTGAATGAACTTCTAGGACTTTCAAAACATTATATATTTTTTTTTTGTAGCAATCTTGAATAATTTGATTGAGCAAAACAACACTTAGCATCAATTTTACTGTTATTATAACAAACTAGAATCAATCCAGTTCTTAACCCCCTACCCAACATAAATAGGTACTTCAGCATATTTAATCATTGAGTAGATTCTGAGTATTGGCTTTTTTTTTTAAATATTCTATTCTTTTCAGAATATCACATTAACTGATTTATAAACTGAAATTATTTGCACATTTTGTTAACATTTCAGGAGAAGAACAAGTTTCTCTCAGAACTCTTTATACCTGCAGACACCAATATCACAAGATTAGAGTCATCAACCTGAGTTACAATTTCAGATATTTCTCAGCTAAATGTGGAGTTTTATGGCTAGTATGGAGCAGAAAAGGAAAACAAAATTATCCCCCACTTATTAGAGACAATTTTAATATAGCTTATGGCCATATCACGTTGAAACACCAATTCCCATCTGATCACCAAAGTTAAACAATGTTGATCCTGGTTGGTACTTAGATGGGTGACTACTTGGGAATACCAGGTTTAGGTGGTATTATGGATAATAGCTGAGTTTGGATTTCAGTCAAGTTTGTGACAAGTGAATGTAACAACTTCACAAATACCATTGGGAAGTGTATGAATCCATCTCTTCTACTCCCAGCTATGAGTAAATAGCAAGACATTCTTAGTTTACAACCAATCTAGGAGAAGAAAAACTGAATTCAAACCAACCTAAGCTTCTTATAGGAGCTAATGGCCAATATGCAGCTAGAAGATGGATAACTATTCAAAAAAAAAAAAAAAAAAAAAAAAGTCTTCAATTATAGCAACATCTGATACATGGCACATACTATGTGCCACATAGCACTATGTCCTGTGATGGTGCACTATGATGGAGAGAGTGTCCACTGCAGGGCAGACAAGCAACTGACCACTTTAAACAATTTTCTTGTACAGATTGCTCAGTAGAAAACTTATAATTTACTGAACCCTCATCCATCATTCTCAATGGGAGAATATATATATAAGCACACAAGGTTTTTCATGTAAAAACAATTCAAGCTTTAGGGATGAAATCTAATAAAATCAGGGATGTTTGCATTGTGTATTTAGAGATTTTGTTTTATTGATTATATGCAGTATGTACTTTTGGTGAAAATGAGATTTTGTTTTAATTGGGGGGGAATTTTTAAGAAAATAAAACAGTTTTATGGTTTGTATATTGCATAAAATAAAAACAACATGAACAAAGCTGAAATATTGAATAGAAAAACTGATGTGATAAGAGGGTTGAAAGTACAAGTATTAAAAACTGGCCCCTTCAGCTAAGTTCTCAGATTTTCAAAATTCACACAAAAGTATAAAATTGTTGAAAACTTTGTTTTATGTTAAAAATCATATAAAATAATAAATTTTACTTGTAAATAAGATAAATTAAGAGTTTATATATTTGCTTTACTTGTTGAGAATATCAAGATAATTTAAAATACTAAATATTATGCACTATAATTTTTCTGGTAATTCATTTCAAAATTTTGGATGGTCTGCTACATCAAAAATAAATATTTACAGAAGAGAAAAAAAAAATGATCATAAAAATTCAAAAAGAAATTTAGTACAAATGCCTCCTTCAAGCCAAATTTCTCATGCATAAAATTTACCCTATAATTTACACTTAAGGCACCCAAGTGCCTTTCTGACAGAAGTCTATGCTGACACAGAAAAAGTTTTGGTGATAATATCAAAATTATAGAATCTATTCTTAGTTTGTTGAGCACATATGGCATCATTCCACTTCTTTAGGGCATATATTGTTAGTGGGTAGTTATATGTCAGTTGTCAAAGAAGACACAGAATTTTGCTCAGTCATCATAACCAAGCATCACATTTGACAGATGACTATTTAATTTTAAAACATCTCTATTAATACAAAATTGAATGACTCAGTGTATTTTAGTATAACATATTTGTGATACATATCTACCTGCTGTAACAACAGATGTAATATATAATATCAATAATAAAATCAAGGAGATTCTCATGCCATATTTTATACTTGCTACAATATTTAAAAGAAGATAATTGTACATCAACCTAGGTTAATTGGTATATTATGTCCTTCAATAATTAATATTGTTTTTATTTTTTATTAATTTATCAACATGTATTAAAGAATGCATACATAGCCTGAATTATAAAATCAATAAGGATACTATGGCAATGAATATATTTTTTCTTGTATAGTTGATGTCTTTTACCTTTATACATATTTGATTAAATAAATTTACTTTTAGGAGTTGATTTGTTTTTTTTAAGAGTTATTAAAAATTATTTTAGTGCAAAAAATACTGTCCTTATGATTTTTGAAAGCCTACAAATATATAGTACAACTGTATAAAATGTTAACAATGCAAAAGAAAGCAAGTAAGGATTAAGATGAAATTCAATACTGCTCAGAAAATAATTATAATGGTTAACAATGCATCATATTTAAGAAAAAAAAGTGATTTTTATGACAAAGGAATAGGAATATCAACCTTTCAGCATTAATATTTTTATAAAAACACAAAAATAACAAAATTATATATAAATTTACATCAACAGATTATTAAAACTTTGAGAATAAGAGATTTTTTTTTAATTATTTCAGTTGTAAAATAATTTTAAAAATAGAATTTTTAATCAATACATTCATACTTTATCAAAATATTTGACAACATGCATCAAAGGATAAATAAGAATAAAAAATCTCATTGAAATAAGAATACAATAAACAAATGTATTATTCCATTAGTGGAAATCAGTCAAATTTTACATATGGATTAAATTTAATAATAGTAGTTAGGGGAAAATTTTTCACTTGTGAAAAAAAATTATATTATATATATATATATATATATATATATATATATATATAAAAATAACAGCCTATAGAGAAGAATTATTTTATAAAAAGATCTGATTTCTTTGAACTATGATTTTTATTTCAAAACTGCACCCAAAATAAAAGACAAATTGCTGCTTTCTTTTGAGACCAAAATGACTGAAATAAATGAATAATAAAAGCAAAAATTAATTTCATATGGTCATTTATTTGAGATCTCCATTCCCCTTAGATGACTTCAGTCCCATCAATGAACATAGTTTTGTTTAATTCTTTTCTCTTTTCAATTATCATGGACATGAAAATACCAAGAAGCCTTTGGATATTACTGTGGGGATTACCTGACCTTGATTGCCAGGATGCCCATAGGTGTCGTTTAAGTCAGGACTTTAAAAAGAACAAACATTAAACCTCTTCTCCTTTCTGGTTTGCAAGGTAATCAGGATGTGTTTCTGCTGAGAGAGAGAGAGAGAGAGTTCTTTCTGGCAAACTGACTAATTTCAAACAAACCATGTGGCACATCACGCACACATATTACAGTTAAGTACATGTTTTCCTTTTCTTTTTGCACTATCTATATACTCACAAATATAGATATCTCTTCCTCTTTTTTTGAGAGCTTTGTAGTTTGTTTTTTTTTTATTAAAAAAAGTGTAAAATTTCTTGATATATTGAATGTTTCTTTTGAAAATGTTGAATTAATGTATTTTGAAATAACCACAAATCTCTTGCTAAAACCTTCCTTCTTTTAAATTATTTCATAAAATACAAAATAGTTCAATCAAAATTTAATGCTAAATTCTACAGCATTCAAATGGCCAAGCCCAAGTGAGTGCTTTTTTTGGGCGGGGGGGTGTCTATCAACTCAAAGTTCTGCATTTGGTTAAAATTAAATGATTTTATAATAAGAGAAACTAAGTTCTAAGAATTGTTTGGACAACTAATTTCATTTCTTTACTTTCATTTGTTGCCTGCAAAAATAATAATGTAAAGAAATAATCTCAACAATTCTTGAATTAGACTGACCCAATGTGAAGTCAACATTTAAACCAGTTCAACTGATCAACTAATTTACCTTTATTTACATTATTTACACACAGACTATTATCCCTATCTTTATTGATGATATCACAATGTTTCAGTTGTTGTGCCCTCTGGCCTTCATCAGGGGATTGTCAATCCAGGTAACCTTCAGGAAATTTCAAACTGAACCCTTTATTTAATCTACAGAGATAGATTAAATAAAGGATTCAGTTCAAAATTCCTTAAAAGTTACCTGGATCAAAAATTATCTGATGAAGGCTGGAGAGTACAATGGCCAAAACATTGTGATAGTACCAACAAAGATGGGGGGCAAAAGTCTATGTGTAAATAATGATAACTCATCATTCCAGAAATTCAGACAGTAATTTTCCTTTCTTTCTTGCAGCTGCTTGAATCAGATAAAAACCTAACAGAACCCTAACAAATTTACAATTTCTTTTTCTTCTTTCCAGCCATTATCTTTTCATCTTTCTCTCTTAAATCTCCTTTGCCTTTATAACAAATTTACTGGATTTCATTTAACCTTTTTCATATTTCAATGTCTATACTTTCTTGATGATTTTAATTTGTAACTTCATTAACTTATTGGAAAATATCAACATTTCAAAAAGAAGAAAAACAAATGCATTCATTTCAGGGATAATTCATAATTGTTTCAAGACTGTTGTAATGGCATAAGTGTTTTCCTTTGAAAATTATGGGAAGAATTTTATTTAATTGATAATGAAGTTTTCTTATACAAAATAAAAGGAATATTTATTGTTATTTAATATGTTGTTTTGTAAAAGATCTCTTTCGTGTTCATATAATCTTTCATTTAAATTTCTAAGGTTTCTCCAATGTATTCCCTGTGGCAATAATTACAAATAAAAGAGTAAATTCTTCCAAGTTTTATCTTATTGTTTTGTATCAATTAAGTCTTTTACTGTTTTAGACATAGTTGTCACAAATTTTATGTTGAGTTTAGATAAATTCTTTTTAATTGTAGTTGCAACAAAGTCAGTTGGTAGAACAATATATATTTTTGATTTGTTGGATTTGTCAGGAAGGGCCATGTTTCTATTTTGGAATATTTTATAAGCCTTTTGTTTTGCATCGAATATGAAATACTTAGGGTATTGGAGGAGCTTGAGAGTATGATTAATATATTTCTCCTTTACATGCAAAAATTCAAAATGCTTTAATTTAAATTTGTGTCCAAGTTCTTACAATGTTTCACCACTCTTGGCAGATATTCTACTATCAAAAGTGATGGAAACACAAAGATTTAAATGAATTCAGATAAATTTTATACCCAAAACAAATAAAGAGATTTTTTAAAAATATCTAAATTTAAAATTCCCAGCATCATTCATTTGTGCACATGTAGTTACATCAACTTAGGCACAAACTTAATCCAATGGAGCTCTAAAATGACAAAATATATCACACAAGACTTATTGCACTTTGTCATCTTTCCCCCTAAAATGGTTCATGAGGTATAATTATATAAAACACAGAGAGGGTGCGATGGATAAATTGTCATCTGAATTACGCAAAAATGAAAATAACTAATCTCATTTTAACAGATATATTTACCAAAATTACATAAAAATATCTTGAAATGCTAAAGAGT